TGGAAGAAACCCAATCATTGAACATGTTATTAACTTGTTTGCTCTATGTATTTATGCGGGTTTTAAGGAATAGCAGGATGTCTTGAATTACTTTTATCGTACTCTATCGGTAAATTCCGATAACTAAATGTGAGAAATTTTATCTTATAAACGAAAAATTAATTTGTTTTGACGGAGAATATGACAGCTTCTCTTCCATATATTTGAATGAAAAATAGAATAAAGTTAACCATCTTCAACTAATTGCTACTTACATGAATATATCACTAAATGCATCCGGTTTACTTCATCATTCTTAATATTCGTTATAAATAATATTTCAATTTTCAACATAAAATTACATATAAAACATATAACAAAATGTAGTTGTGTCTTATTTAGCTAAAACGAATCTTTAAATAGTCTTTTAGTCTTTATAATATTTTACATTAAAGGGCTAAAAGAAACTTTGTTTCTAAACAATATATTTCTAAATGATAATGTTATTTACAGAAAAATATTTAGTAAAAATTCACAAAGCATCAGCTACTGATTTCGTTTCCAATTAGCACTATACTGGTATTCCTTAATGACATGGTTAAGTCCATTTCTCTTGCTTCCAACATCTTTTCTGTTTTCTGCTTTAGTTGGCATATTTCACTGCTATAGGTTATAACGCTTTTTACAATACTGTTATATTAAATAGACTAGTCGCTCTTCGGGCTTGAGTATTTCTTTCTTGGATTGCTTGCTCCGTTGTATACATTTGATATGTTCCTAACTGATTTAAAGTTTTATTCCTCATCGAGAGCTTCAGGCCAAATGAAAAAAAATCGAAAATATGAATGTGGTTTTATAGTTATCTATCTACATATTTGTTATAGCAGCAATATACGAAGACACTCGGTCTAGACAACTTGTCTAGACATTAAAATGTCTAAGTGTTTTCTCTAGGCGTTTTTACTGGGGAGATTGGAATTAGGTCAGCTGTATATCTTTATTTGTTTCACATGACAGCGAACAACACCATATATTCGTGAATTTGGATTTTTCATTTTATATTTGGAAAGTTTATAGCATTTTAAAAGATATACGGTATTTTTTTCATTGGGGGATACATTTGAGGATATTTACATTTGGTTAACAACAATAATCATTTCACTTTAACCTTTGATAAAGGGACAACATTTTTGCTCAAAAAATAGCTTTATCCAATTTTCTTTTTTATAATTTAGAAAAAGATTAATTCATCATTAATTCATGACTAGCACTACCATTTATATAACTAAAGTTTAAAAAATCACTATATCTATAAACACAGGCCTAAAGAATCTTTATCAATGTGTTCATCAAAAACAAAAATAAATAAATTATAAATATGTAAACAGTTATTATTTACATCAACAAAGCTCACCTTCTTAACAGCAGTTAAGGAACATAAAGGGCCATTACTACCGCTTTCCAGTTCAGAATATTCTAATAAGTTGCGATGAGTTTTTTACGGCTATTAAGTTATCTTGTACAGTTCGCATTAAAAGAGGTTCTAAAAAGAACAATATTCTACTGCTAGGTCTGCCAGTATACATTTTTAAGCTTAAATTATCACAACTAAAAACTCCTAATACAAAACTACAGATTCAAAACGAATGATAATGTCAGGAAATAAATAAATAAATGTGGCAACTTGACATTTTTACAGAAGAGCGGCAGAGCTACCACCGGATTTAAATTCCAGTTGATCAGCCCGGCGCCGAATATGTCCATGGTTGGCAACAATGAATTCAAAAACTGCGCCCTCGATTACGTAACTAAAAATGTAACTGGTGTCAAATATATGTTGTAAAGTATAAACATGTATTTTTTGTATATTTTCCCAGAAAAGTATCTTATTAGACTACGTAAAAAAGTTGAATGTTACTGTTAAATAAGCTGGTCTAATATACAAACTTACAATTTGAATTGAATTTTTTAAAGCTTATGTCACCGTTATCATCATTTATTTCTCCACGTGTCCAAGCTTTTAGATTCAATAATATCAAGCTACTATGTCTAGGATTGTAAGCAAACATACCTATGTCGATGTATGAATGACTTGTCATCTGTACAACTTTATTACTCTATGGGCCAGACCATATTCAAATCCGTTTAAACGCTTCTAAACGGCTAAGAATTCTAAGAAGACAGCCAAATATTGACGCCAGACCGGTTCTGTTTATTTTGTTCGGTACTACATAAGCATAAATAGCGGTTAGACAAATAAAAATGTGAAAGGATTTCGTTTTGTCAATATTTAATTCGGTTGCAAAAATGCAACCGTATCTTTTCTACCGGGTTTTCTTTCAATTAGTATGCTCAAGTCGGTCAAACGAGTACCTATTTATATATAATAAGAGTGTGAATTTTAACGTGTATGATGTCTGATTTTAGTTATTCGTTACAGCTCCTCAAATGTAGGATGATATCTCTATCGGCGCAAACGATAGAAAATAGTTTCATTCCTATACTCTGAAAAGCTTCCGAAAGCATAGAGATCTTTTTTAAAGTATATAACAAAAGAACAATCCATCATCATCCCTTTATTTATTTCACCATCATCATTTTTAGCTTATTCAACCATTTCCATTTATGTTGTAGCCTCCCTCACATATTTAGATACTCTCTTTGTAGTTGAGTAAATTGTTCTCTATTGATGGCTGTGCGGGCCCAAGCTATTTCTGCTAATTTCCTAATATCATGGTCCTATCTCAAGTTTGGTCTTCCTCTAGATCGTTTAATTCCTCGTGGCTACCATGCTGTAATTTTTATGGTCCATTAACAAATGGACAACTCCGTCCTTCTTGCCAGGTGTCCTGCCCATTGCCACTTGAGAGATTTGGTTCTGTCGATGACATTTATTACTTGGGTCTTTTGACATATCCACTCTATTCTTTTAGTAATCATAATAATAATAAAGGACTTTATTTGTACAACTGTGCCATATACAATAATAGAAGAAAGAGAAAAAAAAGTAATATAAGTGTACAAAAGGACGAGATTCAGTTGAGCAGATTATATTCTGCCCTCTGTTCAAGATATCTGCCCTCTGTCCAAAGATAAGACTGTCCATATTTGTTAATAAAAATTAATGAAACTAAATCTTAAAAGTAAATCTACAAATATGTAACCTTAAAATTGCATAAACAAATTTTTAATGTCTCTCTTAGTTATTCCCCAGCATATTTCGTTCCATTGAGCGTTGTGCGATCTGCAGTTTCCTTATGATGTCCGTTTTAAGTGTCAGATTTCGCATGCATCATAGGTAGTGGTAGTACACGTTGGTCGAATGTTTTCATCTTTAGATAAAGTGGCATTCTAAATTTGAATATGATTGAGTTTTTCTCATAAGTACTCCATATCAACTTAATTCTTCTGTTGATTTCTGGTAGTAGAGATCGAGCTGTTTATTAGTCGTCCCAAATATATGTATTCTTCTACTATTTCTAGCGCTGTGTTAATTATCTCCTGTATATAATTATAAGCATGTATTTTCTGTCCACTAGTTTGTTATATGTACAAGTGGAGTCAAATTCGACGCTTTTAAATGGAAACACCCTTTTCTATAGGGAATAGACGAAAACTATTATCGGTGTCTGGAGCTCAATTTTTGTCAAAAACATGATGGTGAAAACCGCATATCGATATCTGCTACCGTTTCGGGTGCAGGGTGTTTTTCAAAATATGCATTTTAACAAATCACTGTAACTTTTTTGCTATGGAAAATCTTGTATTTTTATGAAAACATTTCCAAAGCACCTTTTTTACGTAGAATTTAATGGTTTAAGTATAATTTTTTAAAATTAATAATTTAGAAATTATCAACAGAAAATTTTATTTTTTTATATGGGACACCCTGTATATTTTTAATTTATTGAAAATATTTGATACCTTTTCAAAATATAACACACTTGATATTTTGCTCGATTCCTCTTCGAGATATAGAGTATAAAAATTCGCCCGCTTTAAATAAGTAGGTTTTGAACGGCAGCGACACCAGAAGCTGTAATGCAAAAAAAAATTCTAGCTGTGAGGACAATTAAAACGAAAATAAAAAAAAATAATATTTGCTATGAGATGCAGGAATTTTATAACAATTTAAAATATATTTAGCCAACATCAACACATTTAAGCCTTATCTAACAATAAAAATAAATAGCAAACCAAGACATGAGATTTTTGCTACAGGTGTTCTACGAGGTGTCTTCTGTTATGGACAGACAGGAGGCAGTTTTGAACATTTCTCGCGGAATTCATTAACTCAGTAGAGGTGAAAGATACCCTCTCATAACTGCTAAGTATTTCTCATTCTTGTCTGGGTGTAGATAAGGAACCTTTATTCTTCCGCAATTATATCCATAGGATGAGATCCATGGGCACTAAGTCAGGCGGCCTCGACGGCCAACGGCTGGGATCTTGGTTAGCGATTCAATTATTATTCTTGAAATTGGCTGCAAAAATTTGCTGATAACTTCAGCGTTCGAGGCGGTGCGTGGAAAAATATGTTTTCGAGTTCCATTAAGGGCATATCAATAAGGGGTCCAAAGCCTACTAGTTTTGGAAAGGTAATTTTAAATTATTTTCAGTTAATTAAAAATATAGAGGATGTCCCAAATAAAAAATCAATTTTTCTGTTGATAACTCTGAAATTATTAATTTAAAAAAAATTATACTTAAACCATTAAACTCTACATAAAAAGGTGCTTTGGAAATGTTTTCTTAAATACAAATTTTCCATAGCAAAAAGAGACCACAACGATTTGTTAAAAATGCACATTTTTAAACACCCCGTAACTCCAAAACGACTAACAGATATTGATTCACCATCATGTTTTTGATGAAAATTGAGCTCCGGACACCGACATTAGTTTTCGTCTATCTCCTATAAAAAGGTGTTTTCCTTTAAAGAGTCGGGTGACCTACCCTACATTACTTTAGTTTTTGCTAAGTTCATTTTTTGAGACCCACTTTATTGCTGGTTCGTTAATTTATGTTTGTAGTTCTTCGGGGCTATTGGCAATTAGGACTATATCATCAGCGTATCTTAGATAGTTGAGATATTCTTCATCTAATTTTAATATTTTTGGTCCAGTCCAGTTGACGGAAGATTTCTTGATGTTGTTTAAACAGGTTTGGGGATATCGCGTCTCCGTGTCGTACTCCTTTGCTAGTTGGGAACACTGGGATTGTTTATATATCATTACTCTTGCCTTGGCTTCTTTGTGTATATTGGCGAGTGTTCCTATAAAAGGCCTGACAGTACCTTGTTTCGCTAGGGCCTCTATTATTGTCTTAGAATATATCAAGTCGAAAGCCTTCTGAAAGTCTATAAAGGCTATGACTAGCAGAAGTTTATTCTTTTGTTCGGCTGATTTCTTTAAAAGTTTCTCTTAATGTATTAGTGTAAGGATGTGTAAGGATGTAGTGTAAGTATGTATGGACTCGAAGATTTTGTTTAAATGCAAATAAGTTATCCACACAGTTACAGTTTTTCCTCAAGACAAAACTGTACAGTGTAGGTCTTGAGGATACTCTATAAATGCGAATGCCCCATGCACTAATTGAGATTTTCTATTCTTTGAAATGTTTCCTTTTTGAGATTGAGAGATCAATCTCTTCTAAGTTTTTGTATTAACCTTGGACTGCACAGTCCAAATGTTGAGGCAAAACTGAATGCTACCTTGGCTGAATTATTTTATTTGGATTTTTAATTTAAAAATAAATACTAAGACTTTTTTTGGATTATCCTAAGTACCCATGTCTTTTGTAATCGTTATTTTTAATATATCAAGCTTATTTTTATTTTAAATGAGAATGTAGTTATACATACAAACGCTGCTAAATATTAGAAATAATATACCATATTTCATTTCTAATATCTCTAATATTGCAAAATGTGTCACAATAAACTACTGCACACAATGTGATAATTATAAAAATACCAGCCACAAATCTCCAAACACTTTCTATTTTAACGAAATAAAAGTAATAATTCATATAACTACTTAAATCTAGTACTCAAATTGCAAAGGAATTAAAAACAACACCGATGTTTCTTAATAATTCATACTGATTTTACACCATTAGTGAAACTGGAGACACTCATCGTTATTTATTGTCTATTGTTATTCTTCAGTTACAACAATCAATCATTCAAAGAACACAGATATGCTTTTGCGTTTGCTGCAGATTGGTTTGAGGATTATTTATTATATATTTTAGCAGAGTTCAATCTTAGATATATACGTATTATACAGGGTGAGTTTCCTACGATGTTCTCTATGGGTATCTCGAAAACTACTGGAGAGAGAGTCGGTTAAATGGGAAAAGAATTACAGTTTTGTGAGGATATAAATATGAGCCTTTCAGATTTTTGAAAAATTTTATGGCTTACTAGATATTTCGAAAAAAAAACAAATTTTTGCTATTTTAAAAATTGTCCCTAATTCCATTATAATCGATTTTAGACAAAAAGTTTTCAGATAAAGTTGTAGATAATCACATCCCTAATGAGTTTGTGTTCTCCAATTTTTTCTAAAGCCTGTCATTTTTGATATATGAGACACACATAATATTATGTTTTTTTTTAATGGAAACTATAGTTGGCCATGTCATTGCCTTATTTTGCGCTATTTTTTAAGCTTTTCAGCGATATAAGCTATAATATGTTTTTTTCGGAAAATTAGAGTTATAACCAATTCTTATCTTTCTTGACTAATTTCACTTAGTTAGCATGGTATTGTTATTATTCTGTTATTATTTATAACTTATAAAAAACAAAATATATTATTAAACGATTCTTTACAATTTTAAATTAAACAAATTAAAACCTAAAAAAATAATATCACTACATACACTTTAAGTTATTTTAGAAAATCCGCCATTCGTGTGCCATAATTTCTATACAACCTGTATACTACACCTAGGATCGAGTTGAAAATTTAGATTTGTATATAGTTTTGATTTTTGCTCTTATTATAATAAATAATTTTGGGTGACAAACTTAGAAGTACCAGCCAAAAATATTTCTTTACATACCATATTATGAAGAAGATATCAAATACATATCGAGATATTGAAGAGGAATGTCTCTGGAAATGTCTCTGAAAATATCCTATTTAATGAACGTATAAAATAATAAACAACCTCCTTATAAATATCTAATTTATCCAAATGTATCTATCCGTCTACCTGAAATCCCTTACACGAAAACGGACACTCTATCAAAATGTCACCCCCTATTCAAAACCGTTTCTCGATGTTTCCAACCCTCCCTAATCATCCCCCACAACAGAAACCGTTTATTTTTTAACCTCAAACCGCCTACATTCGTATCATCGGCGGCACGTGAACGTCCTTTCATCGATTCCGTGACGTCACCGAAGGCCATGTGGGCGAGTGACGTCATTCAAACGTCCGTCCTCGGGGATCGGTATACGGTGCAATACCCGCACGATGAAGTGAGGAAAATAGATATTTTAGGTTATTTTATGTCTCTTTTTTCGCACTTCATGTTAAAATGTAATAAAGAAAAAAAGACGTAAAAAATTTTAGTATTATTTTACACTACGTTGTATTGATTTTTTGTTACATAAATTTCCTGTTGTTACGTAATTAAGTATTGTCAGCTGATTTTTGACGAATATAACAGTATTTTTATAGGATTTGGAATGGTTGAGAAACCATACCAAGTATAATAGAGATTAGTATATTTTTATTTTATAGAAAGGTTAGGTTAGCAGTGGACAGTAGACTGCAGGAAAGAGGAATGTGTGTTAGCTACAGGTATGACGGTTCAACATAAAAAACTTAGGGCAAAATATGTATAAAATGCATCACAGAACTTCAATACGCTGATGATTACGCTCTAGCAATCACATATTTTTCAGTCACAGAAAAAAGCTCATGAAAGAAAACGGCTTGCGTAAGCATCTTCGGATGCGTGTCAAATTACTCGTCAGCGAATAATGGCAGTAAGTAAGTAAGGTTATCAGTATATATCCAGTCAGAGGCTCTAAAATGTTTCTAGTTATTTGGAACGTTAGTTCTAGCTGGTAAACCAATGACATCATATATGGGTTTTTGAATAAGAAGATAAGGAAGGAGCATATCAAAAAATCTTACGTACACCGCGATGGGCCTAAATATGGCCGACTTAAATTCCGATTTATCAGTGCCGTTCTAATTTTATTTAAAAAATGTAAAACTATGATGTAGGGTAGACGTGGGGTAGACTCAATAATGTGTTATTTTTATTTTACGTTGTGAATAAATGTTGGTAGTTATTAAGAATTGTTATAAAAATATATAATTCTAATAAAAATAGATAAGTTATAATAAGTATTTATTAACACAAACATCCGATACGCTACTGAAGCAGGTCAGTCAAATTAACGTATCAAAATTCTTTGACAAGTAGTAAATAAAAGCTAAAAGGCAAGAAAATATATAATTTAGTTAATTTAAGTGAATTTCATAAATGATCGGTTTACTACACGTATGTATATTATATAGTCACTTACTAGCGAAAAGTTGTTCCATTATTTCACTCAATGTTTTCCGCGATCTACCGCACGCTACACAACCAACTATTTTAGAGTCTTTTCGATAAATCGCGATAATGTCACTGTTAATTTAAGTTCTTCTACAATTTCCATCTAGATTTACTACCTTTGTACAACTATCAGTAGTAGAATAAATAATAAATAGCATAAAATAAGCTCCGTAAAGACTGACAAATCCACAAAATTTCAAATCAAATTCAAATGTGTCAAATGAATCGTCAAACAGAACTGTCAAGGATCCCCACCCTAAAGAGCTTTTTTTGGGCTACGTACAGCATGATACGGATAATAGAGAACAACGGCATACCGTCGAGTCGGCCTAAAAACACGTAAACGTTTACGTACGCATGCGCATTTCTGATTTTTCTTATTTTTTATACACGTAAAAGATTCTTTACGTCTACGTATACGTGTCAGCAGCGGCCGATTCGACCGTATGCCGTTGTTCTCTAATGCTAGAATTAAGGGAAAAGACTGACATATGAAAATATCACAATCTCGTCGCTTTTTAAAACGCCAGAATGTATGTTTTAAGCCAAAGAAGTCTAGCATTTTTACCTTCAACTAATAAATGTATTAAGATCTTCAATTATTATTGTTAATCTTCTTGTTTATTTATGTTGATACGTATTTGATAAAGATATTACAATATTTTGCTTAATTAAATGAGGCGAAATAAGAAAAATCGAATGAAATGGAAGAGGAAAGAAATGTAGATAATTTGACACTTTCAAATTTTTTTTAAAAGTCAATGTCAGTCTTACATATTAGGTGGTTTTAAATAAAATAAATTAATGGAAGTACAAAATCAATATTTCACTAGTATTAATCACATATTAAATATACTGAATTAAACAGTTACAGTAGTAACAGTGTTACTATTCAATAGTAACAGTGTTACTATTTTGGTTGTTATAATAAATCATTTTTACGATTTCTATAGTTATCCGAAACATTTTGACTATCGCTGGCCACGTTGCGTGCTACCTGTGTTTAAAATATTGATTGGCCTCGCAGATTAGATGAGCCGTCACTTAGGTCAGTTAAATATAGCTCTTCCTTCTATACAGGATGTTATTTATTATCTATTTAGAAATGGACATGTTCAGTGTATTACATATAGCTAATTGATAGAATTATAAAAAATAATCTTTATTTACAACTGTAACTTTCACTTTGAGATAATTTTATTGTTATTAAGTTGCAGTTTTATCAATTATCTCGTGCTAAGTAAACGATTAATGTTTAATTAATGCGATGTTATTGATAAGATATTTAATGTCAGCTAAGAATTTGATATTGTTAGATAGTGTATTATTTGTATTTATTTTATTACTAATCTTTTTTCATGGATTTTTTTGTATTTTCTATATTTTTTTTTTTTTTTGAATTTTATTTTGATTGAGAATTAATGTTAATTATTAACTCGAAGAGAGAATTATAATTTTCACCCCTTTTGACCTAATTTATAGATATATTTCTTTCCATTTTAACATTATTGAGTTTAAGGTGTTCTAATGCATCTTAACACATTTAAGCCATTTTTTTGTATTCTTTATGAGTATTACCAAACTATTTTAACTTTTAGTATTAATTTTATTTCTATAATTTACAATATATAATTTTTTGAGCCTATTTATCTTTTTTTAGCATTCATTAGCAGTGGGGTTATTATAAAAAATGAGCACTGATTACCGAAAGTGGGGGTTACTATAAAAAGAATTAAACCATAATGCTTCATTAATATACAGGGGTGGTCGAATTGTATTCCGGAAACTTTTTGGCAGCTTATTCTGCAGATAGAATAAGTAAAACAGTTCTATAAGTATATGTCCTAAAATGCTTAGTTTCGGAGATACAGGGTGTAGAAATTTCATTTTTTATTTCGATTCTTTCCAAATAATTTCTGAAGTGACGTCAATATTTCGATGAAAATTGGTGTCTGGGAGTTTTTTGGCATGAGAAAATTGATTTTGATGTCAATATGATTCCTATTCCTCCCGCCACAGAATAATAACTTTTCGTATGGGATACCTGTATAAAACTTACAATTCTCCTCCATTGCGTTCTACTATGCGCTGCATCTTCCCACTGATGCTGCATACTTATCCTCTTTAATTTTTTTATGGAACATGCATTATTCATGTATCTTTTGAGTTGTCCACCCGGTTTCCTCTTACCGTCTACAAGCTCACCGTAAAGAAGAGATTTTGGTAGGCGGTTTTCTTTATCCTGCATACGTAGCCAGCCCATCTTAAGTGGGATTTAGTAATCATGAGTTCAGCGCCCAACAGCTTGGTTTTCAAGGACTGATACGTTTAAGATATGTCTTAAACATACCACTATGATGGTACCATTTGATTCTTAACGATACAAGGTGTCTCTGTTGCAACTTGTTTAATACGTTCGTGTGCCGGCGGTACGGCACCCAGGTTTCATATAACATGGTGGGAATTATTACTTCTGGGTACACTGCAAGGTTTCATTTTTGTGCTCAAGTCATGATTGTAAGAAACCTGTCTTTTTAATTTCAGAATGCTCTTGAACTAATTCTGTGTCAAATTTCAGAGTAGATAATGGCCTTTCCCAATCAAACTGCCGAGGTGGTTTAATTCATATAATAAACAAATACTCTATATCACGGGGAGTTTATCTATAACAATGTATAAGGGAATATTATTTTATTGGAAATATTATAGTTTTTACAATATTTATTAGGCTTGATTAAGGTTTGCAGAGCTTTAGCATTTGCCACAAATGAGCGAGCAATTTGTTACAAAACTGTAATTACAAAACTTTAATCTATTTCCGTGTTGTAACGGAATTTGATGTCTTTATTTTCCAGAAAATTTAGTCCAAACATAAGGAATATTCTGTTGATGTTTCACCATCAAAATCTTAAAAATAAAGAAGTTGTCTAAAAATGTGCTACAATACAGATGTAGTATAATTCTTTATCTATAATTTCCTTCTTCATTTGTGTGAAAACATAAAACGTTAAATGCCGAGCAGCATTATTGTGCTACTTTTTTTTCGGACTGGTGAAATGGACTCTTAAAAGCTCTATTTTGTTACGGACCAGCATAATCCCAAGAATTAAAACCTTCAAAAAAGTTATTACTACTGTTATAGAAAATTATCTTCTTTGATTTCACGATGAACTGTAATTATTTCTACATAATGTAACGATATTTCCTTGAGAAAATCCATCCGATGCAAAAACGATCGAAAAAATCAGATCGATCCGAACCGATTCCATCAGCGTCATTATTTCCCAGTCCATCTTCCCCGTAATAAACTCGTTTCTAACGTGATCGATCGTGACCGTTCTGCAGTACTTTATTGAAGAAAGTCATGGAATTATCCGCATTATTAGGTGACATGATAAGGGAATCGTGGAGCGCCGCCGGTCGCCGGGGCAAATATCATCGGAAGCGTGAATCTCAAGGCGGTCAGGTTGTGAATCTAACGCTTTACGACAACCTTATTAGCGTGGAGAGAAACGGAGACGGATAAAAGGCATTATCCCTTATTTTTTTTGCTATATGGATTATTTTTCATTAAAACTCTTTGGTAAAGACTGAGTTTTATTCATAAGCACAAAATATTTATACGTCTTAAAAATTATGAAAAATAATAGATGATTTGGTTGTAACATTTTCCGATGCACGCCATCAATCATATCGACATTGACATTAAGTCCAAAAATAAAAATGTTTAAATTTGTTGTATATAATTTAAGATACCGAGCAGCTCTTCATTTACTTTATAGAGCAAATGATGGTAACAAGTTTTGTTTAGGTTAAAGCAGCAAAAATTAGTTTAAACCGAATTTTATTATCGCAATGTTGGTCACATTGCGCCGTGTTCAGCAATGTTGTCCTTTATTATCTGACAATATCCTGACGTCAGTCATTATTTTGTATAATATCGTGTTATTGTTGAATCTTTGTGAACAATTCTCGTTTTTTGCCTATTTTCGTAGTCTTTTTTTAAAAATTGCACTTTTAAGCACAAACGGTTCTTTTAAGAACTAAATTTTCGAGTTTTTGTAATGCATTTCTTGAAATTGTGTGTTGAAAATATGCCGAAGCATTTAAACAGTCGAAGCAAAGAGCTTGTAGCTTCCCTGATAAACAATTTGAATTAATAGTAAAGGTCCTTTAATACCCCTGACTGCAGTCAGAGAAGCAAGTTTGATTGATAAACACATTATACCACTTTTAAAGTTAGTTTTTATTAAATTTTCTGATTATTTGTTTGTGCATTAATAGCACCCTGTTACTTGTTATTACCACTTATGTCGTTGTAAGTTGTACATCAATAAATAAATAAATAAATAACCCATATAAAGAGTAGAATAATCTGCATAATGGACTATATAGTTTTTGCCAATATGTAATAAGTAAAATAAGCTATAAAACAAATAAATCAATAATTAATTACTAATATGTTAGTTATTGAATTAAAAATAAAACGTAAAACTTTAAAGATTATATAATAAATAGTTTTTCAATTTTAAAATTATTGCCCCAAATTAGCCATAAGCAAATTTGGGGCATGTATGTAAATATGTTATAATATATCTTTATATTCACCAATATTCTTTGTGAATTCATTCTTAATTTTATTTATTTATTGTAAATTAATCTTTTAAAATCGCCAAATTCTTTTATTATTACTATAGAGTAGGTTAAAACAAATTGAAAAATTTTATTATAGTGAATTTACAATAATTGCTTTTGTAAATTTATAGATCCCCCCATTGAAAATGGAGATATTAAGATATTTCACATTTTTGAGTATATACTCCCATTGTCCCATTGAAGAAGGAGACATTAAGATATTTCTATTGATAAACCTAATTAAGACATAACAAATAAGAAAAATTAATTCGATATAATATTCATTTGCATACATAACTGGGTATTATGACCATTACAAAATACGATAACTAGTATTCTTTTCTAATATAATTATCTACTAATATGATATATAGTCTGGGTATTAAACTATTCAAAGCTATCTTCTTAAACTGGGCTATCCTGTTCTATTCAAAGATAATTAGATAATTAATATGGTTTTGAAACAGCTAGTAAACTCTTAACAATAGTTTTTAATATAACAAATCTCTTAAGCAAGCCTTGTTAATATCATATTCGTTTTTTTATTACTATTGGCACATGCTAATTCAATTCCACCTCGCCCAGCTTAATATAAGTTAAAATAGTTGATTTGGATCATTTCAATAAATTCTTTCAATAGAAGAAATTGATCTTGACAAAGAATGTATTGATAAAAATTACATTATCTTTGAGACAGCCTCGGAGAGAACTTAAAAATAATAAATAATTTCAGAAAAATATTAACGAGTACAATATTTTGTTCTGTCAAACAAGATTGTATCAATAATTAATTCAATTCAAAATTAATAATTAATAACTGTTAGGTATATTTATTACGTTTTTTAAGGTTTTTCCATGATTAACTCTCCTCCCAAACATTCTACATCCTACTTGAAAAGTGTTTAGACAACATGGCACTCTTGAACATTAAATTATTGTTCTTATTGTGACATGCTTTTTTATTAACATTTAAAACAGACTAAAGCTTCATTCAGAACCTCGCAATTAGTGGAATAAATTATTAGTGGTTTCAACTACACTTTACACTTTTTAGTTTACGATCATTCACAATGCCTAAAGGCACAATTTAAATTAATACAATATCCTAGCTTGAGGTAATCAATTCTATCCACAGAGAAAGCCTAATATTTAGCTTATAAAACAATCAACTTTTGATTTTTAACCACATTTTCTCTCGGCGGCCAAAAGGCCAAAATGACATTCCTCGCAAATTTTGAAGTATAATTAGTGGAAAAGTTAAAAGTTTGGTAAATTTTTCCACTAACTGAAAATTCTTATCACTAATTTTGACGTTCTGAATGCTCACTTAGAGGAAAAAACTTCTACGCTAATTGAAACAATTCAATTATTCCACTAATTGCAAGCTTCTGAATGAAGCTTAATAAGAGAAACAAGAAAAAAAGAATCTGCAAAATAAAACACTAAATCACCACAATACACCAAAACACTTTGGTGTATTGTGGTTATTTAGTGTTTATGTACATACAACAAATGTATTTTGGTGTATTGTGGTGATTTAGTGTTTTATTTTGCTGTGTAACACCAAAGGTTCCAACCCCCAACTATAAGAATATATATGTCAAAATGAATAAATATTTATATGTATCACAAAAACAAATATTTTACTAATTCTGCGTATCAGTAAAATGTAACCTTTCAGGACCTAATAATATATCACCACTTATTCATTAAAACTGACTCTACTAGAACTTTAATGACTTAATATAAGATTGCAGTAAGTCCACATTAAGTACATAATTTCAATGTTGTGGAATGGATAGAATATGCGAACATATTGAAATGGACGCGTCTATTGCGTCCATTCATTATATGTCGCCATGTTTCTATATGTCAATGTTTTATATATAAGAATTTGAAATCTCAACCTCTAATCAACCAATGCTCTATTAAAGCATTATCTACCGCTACAGCAAACTAAATAATAGTTGATAGTAAAATAATCTTATTACCAGCGTTGTATCCATAAAATGCTATTCTAAGTCTTCTTCTCAAACTTTTATATAATTTTTATTACCATACACTAATTAATGAATGACTACTCCGATAACATATGCTATAATTTTCGATCAATTTACTCGTTGTATATCAAAATGATACAGTTAAACACTAATTTCAATTAAATGTATCAGAAATACACCGAAGCCTCCATATTTTAAGTAGATTAGGTAGTGATTGGATATTTTTTGAGAGCACTTTGCCTACCTAATTATTTAATTAAACCGTCAGTAAGATTACACTGATTGATGACACTCTTACCTCTATCTCCGCCTTTATCATATTTTCATAATTAATTAAATAATACCTATCCAGCTAATTAATTTTTGATAGTAGCTTAACTCTGGTGATTTTAACATCAAGACCAGTTTCCGTTCTATAAAGACAATGTTTTATCGTCCATTGTAAGATCAGCTTAATTAAAGTTAATTAAGAATTATATTTCTGAAGATGTGTTCATTATTGATAAGCCAATTTTTGATTTACCAGAAAAAAACGGTGTCAGAGTTTGCTTGGAAATAAAGATCGCTGTCATATAACATGTAAATTTGTATGGAAAATATGCAGAAAACTTGATACTCGGCCTTTCACACAGAACACACTGTTTTTATGAAATGTCATTGTAATCTATTCAATTCAATTCAACATGTCTTTATTAAGTATATAAACAATTGTATACAAAACCATCCAAAAAAAATATGTGAGAAAAGAGTAATAAAATAAATAATCAAGTTATTACAGAAATATAATTAAAAATTAAAGACCTACATTATTCAATAATTAATTACAAAATATATAAAAAATCAAGGTAATATGAAAGAAGTGAGACAAAAAAATCAAACAAAAGTTTAAATATTAGTCTTTCAACATATAGCCCTTCACTCTCTTTTTAAAAGACTGAATGCCAGAAGGGTGTCCGATATCGTTGGAAATAGCATTGTAAACTCGGACCGCATTATAGGAAAATAAACGCTGAAACAAAGCTGAGACATGTACAACGCGCCTGATCTAGTGGGATAGTTATGCGTTTCGTTTCGCTTAAATAATTTCTCAAATAGATAAATTGGTGTTTGGGATTCATTGCTGTGAGACTCCCTAAAGCAATCGGATATGTGATCAATTACCCAGACCGGATACGGCAAAAACAAAGAGATTCTTGGAAGGAAGTAAGATGAAAATCCTCCGTAAAATCATAGGTAAAACGCTGCTAGATAGAGAACGAAGCGACAACATAAGGCAAACATGCAAGGTGGATAGTATTAATGAATGGGTATTGAGCGAATGGAATGAACATATAAGCCGAATGGACGAGGGAAGAATAGTAAGGTCAGCTCGAGACAAATCACCACTAGGAAGAAGAAGTACGGAAAGGCCAAGAAAAAGATGGTGTGATAACCATCGATTGAAACTGTAGGAATGATGTAAGGAATGAACAGGCACTCTGCCTATTATAGAGTACGAAGACGAAGAAGCATTTTACCAAACCAGAAAGTTATCCGAAAACAGCAAAAAAAAATTAATATGTGGTCGGTTTGGTTTCGTTTGGTTTTGACCAAATATCCACATTTCGTGGAATGTCCATTCCTGTCAATTTTTATTTCGCTGATATTTCTAGTCAGGCAGCTATCTTTTCTTCGAAAATTTTATTTTTGATCAATTCTGTTCGGAAAATTATGTATTCTTCTGACAATATTCCTAGATCCTTTTCTTGGACATCCAGTAAATCAAAATGTTTTCACTATTATCTTATATGTGTTACCTATACCTTCTCGAGTACTCACCAAACAACGATACGCAATTAGAGTCGGTCGTTAAAATTTGCTTCACTGAATATTCTAAGTTCCCATAAATATTAATAAGATCTACTACAGTAAATTCATGACAAATAATGTCTTTTTTTAGATGGCGAGTCACTCTTGTAATCTCGTTGTTGTTATCTACCTGGGCACGAGATAATAAATAGTCTTGGAGAAATAAAATATTTTTTGTGCCAGTGCGGAATTTCACAGTGGTGGAAAACGGAGTGTTAATATCCAATTAATAGGCAATGGCTTGAATATGTAATGAAGTTGTCGTTTTTCTTAACGCGAGACGCACGTATTAACAACACAAATATATACGGCACTAGTTTAAATTCAGTGTAAATAAAATTATTAACGGTTTGTATTTGAATAGAGTCAAAAAGTTATTCTGCTGTTGTTTGCATAATATATGCTTAATAAACACCTGTCAATAGTTTTGAAATATTTTGAAGTGTAAAGCAATTTGAAGAGGTTATACACAGTTCTCAACAGTATGTCGGGAATACAGCCCTTCTAATGAAAAATTTAGAGATTTAGTTTAAATGCAAACTTAAATTGTATACAGGTTAGGTTACTTGGGTTTGGAATCCGGTTTGATCCCACATTCCTGCAGGGGCTTATTGTGATACCCCAGTATTGCGATACCCCAGTATTATTGTACCAAACCTTCCTCTCATTTCTTCTTTGCGTTAAAGCACTTCCAGGTCTTTGCAAGGTCTTTGCAGGTTTACCCCAGTGGGGCAGTTTCCAGTGACGACACCTACTAGGTGTCACCTAGAATTATGTACCTATATTAGGTTATTTTGTGCTCTAGTAGTTGTTTTGTTTTATTGCTATTTACCACTGGCCAAAGTCTTCGAGCTGTAGCGCAGTAAATTGTATACATGTGATAATACAAATTTAGGTATTTTATATGCTTCCTAGGCATTTCACAAAAAGCCGTCAAGCGGGAGAATGCAATGCATTTTTGTCTCACACATATTTAGTCAAATTACAACTAAAAATTAAAAACAAATACTTTATTTATCAGTGCATGTGCAATGTCCAACTACTATGTAATTTGGAAGAACATAGACGAAAATAGTTATTTTTAAAGTAAGTATATTTTTTTGTATTGCACTGTTTGATAAAGCTACGTTTTCAAGCTCTTGACCTTATCGTCGTGACTGATATGCAACTGCTTCTGACAGTAATTATATTGTATTCGCTAAGAGTATGTCGCACCTGGGACCGCGAGGGCCTATTGTGGCTCAGTTGTACAAACTTTTAAAAGGAAAAAGTATTAAAATGCCACCCTCATAGTTTCATCACCTTCCATGAAACGTCGGTATTGGGCGTCTTCCACTAGTCCTATCCTCTGCAGGTATGATCTAGGCCTGCAGTGGCCCGTGTATACTAAAGCTTGTCGCCCACTTGGCCGTCACGTCCCGTCCCGTTCCGGCCCGTCAAAATACGGATAGGATTAAAACCATGCAAATGAATAGACTACCGCACATTAGCCCGTCACGGCACGGAACGGCGAGTCCGTCGACGGAACAGATTCCAGCTCTGACTCTCCCCGTCAAACGACGGTCCGTGCCGGGACGGGCCGGTCAACTGTACGCGGAGCCGGCCGGCCGGCGCTGGCCTGCATTAACTTATGGAAGCCTTTCGATCGCATATATGTTTTGCAATTATTTTGGCAGTTGTTATTGTTAAGTCCGAGAAAGCAGTCCTAAGAAAAAAAATTAGGGAAATTAAATCGTTAAATAAATGATGGGACCTCCGCGTTCAGTCCGCTTTTGATTAATGGGGTGGACCCACATTTTCTCTTTATCTTCTATTTATTTTCTTCTTCTTCTGCCAAAAATGCGGCCGCTACAATAACTTCTTCATCAGAACTGCTGCTTTCACATAGTGACTCTGTCACTGCTACATGTAAACTAAAACAAAAAGATCTTCGCAACATACGACCGCGACGTGACGGCTTGCCGGTTTCCTGCGGCAAAGTGGGCGACCAAGCTCTCCGTCGCCTGCAGGCGACGAGCAGCTACGGTCCGTGCTGTGCCGGACAAGTGGGCGACAAGCTTAAGGGTCGGCATTTCTGGTCTTGGGTACCGATTTTCGTGTGTACGCAGAGTACGGTCAACACGCTTAGTAAAATAAGATGTACTGAATAAAGACAGAAGGAAAGTATTTTTCCAAGCGCATGGAATCTAGCATCAAATTAAGTGATTATGCAATAAATACTTCTTATTTTTGCTCTCTCCGGCTTACTAGATTGCCATAGCGATTCACTCCTATACATACAAACAAAGTTTCGCTTGCCAACAGTAGCTCTAGTAAGCGTACGCGCTCCATTCCAGCCTTTAAGAGTTCTCCTGTTCTGAGTTTGGATGGCCCTGCCACCATTTTCTTGGCATGTTCCATATCGGGACTGTCCATTCATAGACCCTGTCTTTTGCGAGATTTTTTTAGCTAACAGGAACAATACACTCACCAGCACGAAAAACGAGCATATTAAAATTTTGATGTGTTTTAAAGTTTAATATATTTTGTTTTATTGACTCGATTTTGATGATTTTTTAAGTAATTTGTAGCTAAATCATTTGACTTTTTAGTATCTCTTTCTATACTAAAAATTAAAGTTTTTACGTGTCAATTATATAGGGAAAATAAAATGTTGATATTTTGGCGAAAGTTTGAAACACCCTGTTGAATATTTTTTTATTCGTCGCAATAGCTTTATTTTTATTTGAGATATTCGCTTTTGAATATTAGTATTGATTTTGGTTCCTCATATAATATAATATGATTTTTCAAAGACAGTGCCATTACATAAATCATAAACACTATTTTATCGGTTTGTTGACTAGGACCAAAAGCAAAGTTATTTTTAAATACCTTGCTTTGTTAACGTACTACATAGGGTGTTGCAAACTTTCATCAAAATATCAACATTTTGTTTTCCCTCGTATAATTAACAGATGCTAACTTTCATTTTTGATTTAAAAAGAGACACTAGACAATCAAATAATTAAGTTACAAATTCCTTAAAAATCATCAAAATCGGCCCACTAGAACAAAATAAACTCCCCGGCACGAAATTTCGCCACCCTAAAATTTTGACTAAGTTTGATGTTTCATAATTTTTTAATTTGTAATCCCATTTTTATGATTATAGTATTAGTTTGTAGATAAATTTGTTAGCATTATTTTTTTATTATTTTAATGGCTTGTATATTTAGGTTAGGTGTGTTCTAGAACTGTATTGATATGATTTCCAGTTTAAACACATACTTGAAAACGGCTAGTGATACGTCTGACCGAAACGTTCTATAAAAATAAAGACGATCTCATATTTCCAAGTCCTATTTATAAATAAACTATATGTTCTTTAGTTTTAAATTCAAAATTAAACTGGCATACGTTACGGTAATACAAATAATAAAATATATTTTGCTATTGCAATCTAAACAATTTTCACATTTTTGTATACGAAACGAACCACGAACACTGCGCCCGAACTAGTTCATTTCGCAGACCATAAACCAGGCGGCTTTATCCTCCGATCACGTGCTCTCCTTGAAGTATCTTGTAAACGCCGAGTAAATCATGTAAAAGAGTTTATCTACGGCAATGAATCTGGAGTGTGAGACTTACGGTCGACTAAGAACGGTACGTCGACGTCGGTACGTATTTTTGACGTATTTAAATCGCGATTCGGCATAAATCAGCGCGGCCGCTACACGTTTCCAACGTCGATCGTGTATTTATTGCTGTACATGTTCATTTTAAAAGATTTTTCGCTTTTGTCTTGTCCGCTTCTATCGGTCCGTCTCTACTGAAATGCACGCGAGTGCTCGCTCGACGATCGTTTGTTATTGTCAATTATTCAGCTTTCGTCTAACGTCTTAATGATTTACGATTTTATTCACTTGGAAATTTATTTCTGTGATTTTTTATGAGAGTTCTGTAAGCTATAACTCACCGTTGGAGTTTTACGAAGACGAATCCTAGTACACAAATCATTTTAACATTTATGTATTTCGATATAATTTACATTATTAGCCAAAGGTGTTTTTGAGGACTTATTAATGCGGTTTAGGGCGATGTTGTTAATTTATGCTATTTTGTCTGATAACTATAAAGTTTTCAACTAAAATTACATACTGTAGTCAACTGGTACTTGTTTTGAGAGTTGTTACAGTCATTTTCTCGAGTATATATCCGGATATACGTATCGTTCGAAGTTAGCATGGAGTACTTATGGAAGAAACTTAATCATATTCAAATCTAGCATGCGACTCTATCTAGTCATGACTTATACATGCTTAAAACGGACATTGTAAAGAAACTGCAAGTTACACAGCGCTCAATGGAACGAAATATTCTGGGAATAACCAAGAAAGACCGTAAAAGAATAAAGGGTATACGACAAAAGACCCAATAAATAGATGTCCTTCACAGAATCAAATCCCTCAAATAGCAAAGGGCAGAACACCTGGCAAGAAGAACGGACAACAGATAGACCACAAAAATTACAGTATGGTACCCACGAGGAAGTAAGAGTCTTAGAA